ACTTACACTTAATGAATTACTCCAGAGAGTCTCGACTGTCTGAGACTCAGATTCCAGCTCTTTAAAGTGAAGACAACAGCTCCTCATGATGTGCTGAACAAAATGCTAATGACTTCTATTCTTTCCATTATCTGGTCCTAACTGAGTGGTCACGAAGAACAATGGCCTGTGCTTTGGCATAGCCACAGGCACAGGTTCCTGCCACCACCTACCTGTGTGTGCAGGGCAGCGGGGGGAAGGGCGCTGCGGGGGAGGCATGAGGCAGGACAAAAGCACAGGTGTCTGCAGGTGTGGCTGCGTCTCTGTGACAGAGCGGGGGTAGAAAAGGAGGAAAGAATGTCAGCACGCCCAGAGGCTCAGCGCTCAGGCCATAAGTAAAAACAAGATAAGGCTGTTTTTGCAAAGGGGAAAGGCATACTGACCTGAGTGAACCATAACATGACCCGGAGAGGAGAAGAGGTCAGGCTCAAATAAAACAGAGGAAACATACCAGAGGTAAAAAGGTCAAGCTACCTTGGAGATGCTGTGCTTATCATTTACATATCAGGAGAGGAAGTAGCGCCATGTTACAAATAAGAACAAAAAAGATGTGTGCATTCCTTCAATCATGCAGTCACTTCAGTTCCCATTGTGGTAACATGCCTCCGAGTCCAGCTGATGCAACAACGCTGCATCTTGCTGCACTATGTCCCGACTTTCCTCATTGCGCTCCATGAATCATTATCGCGCTGGTGACGGAGGCGAGACCACCCTCACATTTCATTTCACAACACAAACAGCAGCCTGCCCTGTGTGCGCCTTGCATCATCAAACCTGGAGCGCCTCTCACATTTCCAGCTCTAATCGCACAAATGTCGCAGCCTATCCGAGCCTGAGAGCCGCCTTTAAAGTTTAAAAGGGAGTCCTCCCTTGCTGCCCAATGCACCAAATGTACCACTAAATGAGGCCATTTTGTTTATAGGAACTGTGGGAGAGTTGTGGGTGACTCTGTGCCCCTTTAAAAAGATAATATCCTCCCCATTTAATGGCCTCCGGATGACAAATTGCTTCCAGGGGAGAATTTAGTTAACAAAATTGCAAGTGTGACACTTAAAGACATATCCACTCTACTTAAGAAGTTTGACATCCATAATTCAATTATGCTCAGCAGTAGGTACAGTAGATTTGTTTAAAGCCATATTTGCCTGCGTAAAGTAGGACTTGAGTAGTATTTAAGTATTTCTCATCATGCAGTATTAAGAAATATGTCTAATTATAACAAATGATTCATTTTACACACAGATTTCAAATTCAGGATCATTTAAGGAGATCTACTGTTAAAGCTCATATATTAAAGGAGGTATGGTTTACTTGGTTTTGACCTCAGCGGAAAGTTTTTTACATTGACAAGAGGAAAAGCCCCATATCTCTTGGAGCTGGTTGGAAAAACACTTAGAAAATTGATGGCTCATTATAACCTAATACTCTTACAAATATCTAGAACACCCATAAACTGTTCTTTCCTTTTTCAAAATGCTTACGATCTTGATGGTATTCTGACTGACATACAGCCCAAACCATTCTTGTTTGCTTTTTTTTTTCTTAAGCCACTAAATACTTCCTTGGAACATTTAAAATGTGGGGATTTAAGCAGAGACAGTGCAGAGGAGGATGGGTGGATGTGTAAAAACACAAAACCCTCAGGAGAAAAAGGTAGAGACACAATCAGAGAGACCTGCCATTAAAAGTACAGCGGTAAGTGAGAAAAGAGACGACAGCCAAACAGCAAATGAATCTGGATTCGGATCAACTGAATGAGAGAGAGAAAGAGAGAGAGAGAGTCAGAATGCAGAAAGAGAATGATGTGGATTGGAAGCGGGAGCAGGAGCCAGGGTTGGCAGGGTTTTGGTGGAGGAGTGTGGTGGTTCAGAAGTCCTCCAGCGAGAGGCGCCAGTGTGTCCGGCGGGGGCCCTGACCATGAGCTGCCTCACCCCCCCAGAGCCACGGCCACAAACCCCCTCTCCCCCCTTCACCACCAGCACCGCCACCCATCCAACCCAAAACCCACTGGCAGGCAGCGCTTCACTGAAGCTGCTGCTGCTGCTGCATGTTTATTTAATATTCTGAAGAAATTGAAATATCTTTGTGGGTTTACTCACATACATACACAATTACACATCCATCACACACACACACACACACACACACACAGTACATACATGCACGCATACATTCACACACACTGCCGCCACAATATATAAATAAATAAAGTAGAGTAATAATGCTCTCTTGATCTGTGGCCAAGAATAGAGTCGGAGAAAATCTTTTTCAAATGGTGTTTTCAGACGCACAGAGGGAGGAGCGTGAATGTCTGACACTGCGTGTTGCCTGAGCATGTCTCCGACTGACTCCCACCGAGGAGAGAGAGCTCTGACAAAGCGGGTGACAAACAAGAAATAGTTCCCATGTGACGAGAAGAGACTAGTTGTTAAAAAAAACCAAATAAAGACAAATGGTTAAGTTTGTAAGTCAAATGCAGGTTTCATCATATATGGATGTAAAAAAGTATGCATTTCATATGATGTGCTATTTGGTGACTGAGTGTGAAGCCTGTGAATGAGAACATGTATATGAGGTGTTTGTGAAGTGTTAAATGTAGAAATGCACAGTGCCAGAGCGTCTTCTGTGTGCGTGTGTGTGTGTGACAGTTCATGCTTGAGAGCACACACATCCATATGAAGTCTCTGATCATTACAAAGCAATTCCTTCAGACAGAAATCCCTTAAACAGCCTCGGTTTTGGGCTTCACGCTATCCCCCCTTCTGTCTCCTCTCTCCTCAACAGCCACCAACCACTGCTGCTGCCAAAAATAACACAGGAGCGCCACTCGAACCCGCGCCTCACCACAGCGCAGCTTGGCCGCAAGAGAGGGATCAAAACACACACAAAAAAGGAAACACATCATATTGTGGAAGGAGGGAAAAAGAGCATTCATACAGCGCCATGCCTGAAGATATCTACTGATGATTTTGGCAAGCGAAGAACCACACATACTAATGCGCCAGGCCAAGACAGGGAAAGCGGAAAGTGTGTTTGTGGATGTGTGCATACATTTTGGATGAAGTATATTGTCGCAGCTACAGAATTCGCTACTGATCCCACTCACTCAGTGATTTAACCACTAGCTCAATAAAAACACTTACACTATCACGTTATAGGTCAATAAATTAGGGCCTTCTACCGACAAACGAAGGCCCGGAAAACAAGGCAAATTATCGCTGAGGGTATGAATTATGAGTAGGAGTGGTATTCTCTGATGTCAGATAAATCACCGTGCTTTGATTGTAGGTTTGGGAGTTCAAATGGGAGACAACTTTACTCATTGTCATGGCCGAATTCACTTTTGTGTTGCATTTGGCAAAACGTGCGTCTCTACACTGACAGACGGATGCCAGCAAATGAAGCCATTAGAGCTCAAGTTCTGTTTCAACAGCGGCCAGGAGGGGTTTATGAGGAAACCATCACGGGATTAATTGTCCAGCCGCAGCAATAAATGAAATGATGGAAAGGTGGAAAATGTAGTGAAATTTAATGGAAGTGCTGCTACGTTAGTTTGGGCAGAAGGTTCTGAAATTTAGGGTCAAAAAGATTAAAAGCGTGAGCATGATGGCTCTGAGTATTCAGCAGGGAAAAGAATTCAAACTGAACAGAGAAACTAGACACAAATTAGAATTAGTTATTATTATTTTATCATTGATTTCATTGCCATCACTTTTTGCTGGCCTGAATTATAGTAAAACGCAAATGCCGCACCCTTCTAAACAAAAAACACACGCGTGAGATGAAAGTTTGGTCAGATCAGGTGGACGGACCTTTACAGAGGCTGCTCCTCATCTCACCTTAGATTTTCATATCTTAACCGCTTAGAGCCTAGAAACATTTAAATCAAAGTTACATTACTTAAAACCAAGTTCTTCTCATTGGCTTTCAACTCAAGTTGAATTTGAGACCTTGATTTAATCTGTTGCTTTGCAATTCTCAATTATTTATGATGTTTCACATTTTATTGCTTTTGAATTTTCTATTCATTCTCTGTTTCTTATATACATTTTTTATTTTAAGCCTGACAGCACTTTGGTGATTGTTTTCAACATGCTATATAAATACAATTTGACTTGACTGGATATGACTGTTGTCTTTTCACCATGTTATCTATTGACATTGGTTTTACTTTCTTCTCTATGTCATTGTTTTTATGCTACTCTGCACCACCACTGACTTGTAAACGCATGTTGCTTAGACCAGGGACTTTTTACTTTTAAATACATTTGTGTATGTTTAACAGCAAGAGGTTCCCACGTAAAGCACATTTAAATATTGTCTTTAAATTGGTAACTGAGGTGTTTCTCTGTAAGTTGAGCCACTGCAACATACCTGGGTCCATGAATGGTCTGTGTTGGAGACAGGTGCCAGAAAACCCAGGAGCTCAAAGCATCAAGGGACAGAGAGGTTTATCATTCAGTCACATCAGTGACTGACTGTCGCCCTCTTCTGGTCCTTTGTATTCATAACAGATGAACAACTCACATCGGGGAACAATTATCCTTATGATTATAATTGGAAAACCTTACATCCATAAATTCCTCCCCAAACTTTAGACATTAAGCAAACACAACAAAGTGAGCTTGAAGAATTATTTCCTGTGACCCTGGATGGAAGTCTTTGACCTGATTTGTCGTATTTGGATATTTCATTCTTCTACTCTTTTTAGATAATTAACTTCTTTCATTGTATGTTATTTGACGGATGTTTCATTTCATTTGAGTTTTCTACACATCCTGTATGATTTGAACTGTGATTAATAAAGTGAGAGAAAGAAAAGAAAAGAGTGGGCCCATGTGTCTTTTCTTTTTAAATGCTGCAGCCTATAATTATAATTAAAAGTAATAAAACATTACACACAGGTCAAGAGTTAAAACGAGTTAAAAACCATATCAGCTTATTAAATAACATTTACTCACTGCGACTTGAATTCTTCCATTTTGTTGCACTTTCCCATCCGGTGTTGTTTCCCAGCAGCAGATTCACAACTTTAATTAGATGAAAAATAAATAAATAAATAATAATAATGATAATGATAGTACTATGTTACACTGATAAATGATGTTTGTTGGTTCGTTTTGATTATACAACAAATCCTGCACTAACTTAAATACATTTCCTCGGCATCATATTTAACGTTAAGAAGCTAACGGTAACTAGCTTAGTTTGTTTTGCACATACACTTTGCTTTAACAGAGAATTCTCTGCTTCCTCCTTGTTCATGTGTTTAAAAACTTCTACTTTTCATTTACTAGTTTTATATGTTAATGTTTAGTGCCCCCCCCCCACCAGAATATTCACCTGTTTCTATTGAGAAGAAACAATCGTACCTGTACCCGCTCCTCCTCCTCCTCCTCCTCGGTGCCTCCCGGTGTCCAAATCGAAGTCACCCACAGCTCCTTCTGACCAATGGGAGCTGGACTTCCGCCCGGAGGCGCGCTACGTCACATTGTTGTGTCGGAGCGGAGGGCGCCTCTTCTGCCTTTCACATGTCTCCTGCCCGTGGAAACACCGTCTGATGAGAAGCGGGGCGTCCGTCCTGTTTTGGGGGGATTCGCGGATCCAAAACCGACCGGCACCGTCTGCGTGAAATAGGGAATGAACGACGAGACAGCACCGGACAGCTGGAAGAATAACTCCGGGTGCTCCAGGTGAAGCTGCACACATGCTAAGCTAACGTAGCACTGAGCATCACATGTTTTACACCAGGCTGTTTTCTGAACTGGTTCCACTGTTAAACTACTGTTACTGCTGTTGTTGTTGACTTTACCAAACATACCTGCACACAGTCACTACAGATTTTCATAGTTAGACCTTAAACACGGTGCCACATACGAGCGAGTGTAACCGTGGACACTAGCCCTGTTGATAAATGATTATTGATCCCATGGACCTGTTGATTACTATCTAATGACTTAATTACTGAATCCAGATAGACTTAAAAGTGCTATTAGACATCTATAGTTCTTATTAATAACCTGTAGCAGTATCTTCAGCAATTAACTGCCCTGATTATTGATTATCGGTCTGTACTGCCTTTACATTGTGTTCTACTGTGCAGATGTTCGTGCACACTGCACAAACTGTTGCATCCTGCATTGTCAGATGTTTATTAGAAAGACTAACTCTGGTACATTTATATATAAACCATTGTGCTCATATTAATTATTGTACACTACATTTTAAATAAATACAAGTTAAAGTTATCCTTGTAGGGTTGTTTCTTCACTTATATGTACTTTTGTTTATGTAATCATTCATTTAGAAAGCCTCCTAATTTAAGATTACATTCAATTTTATATTTGCATAATGCCCAAACCACAATGTACATTATCTCGACACGTTGCATAGTAAGGCCGAGACTGTTCAAAGCAATGGTGATAATGTGTATCATCAGCCAAGTGGACATTTTTAGTTTCATATCCGATGTTGAAAGTTCTCTTGCCTCAATACAAAGTAGATGTGGAATTACAGATTGTGGTTATTTGTTCCCTGGAGTTTAGTGCATGTCTGAAACCAGCTGGATTGGAGAATGGTTCAACTCCATAGTGAGGTTTTCTGGATTTGTGTGACCAAATTGCAGCTGATGGCTGTACTGACAGTATGTGAATGGGTAAGATAGAAAATGTATGTGAATGGGTGAATGCAACTTGTACTGCAAAGCAATTTTTGTCATTGATAAGGCTGGAAAAGTGCAATTTAAATATGGTCCAATCAGTCCATTCTGTTTATACTTGTGTAATTTAGGCGAGTGTAGTGAGTGCATACATTTTTATCTTGAGTGAAAGACAATAATGCTGTAGTCAACAGTCCATCTCATGCTTTATGTTCCATTCCATTCAGTATTGAGCAAATGCTGGCTGTGAATCCCGGAAAGACGCCGATCAGTCTGCTGCAGGAGTATGGAACGCGGATAGGCAAGACCCCAGTGTATGACCTGCTGAAGGCCGAGGGACAGGCCCACCAGCCCAACTTCACTTTCCGCGTCTCCGTTGGAGAGATCAGCTGCACCGGCCAAGGGCCCAGCAAGAAGGCAGCCAAGCACAAAGCAGCCGAGGCTGCTCTGAAGATGCTCAAAGGAGATCTCGAAGGTCCCACCGGCGTTGGTGTTGGAGTAGACAGTTTTATTGGGGTTGACGTGTCGACTGATGGAGACAGGTCGGTTTATTCAGTTTCCCCCTTCAACCATAATAAAGTATCTCATATTGTAACGTACATTCCTATTTATTTATTTGTTTTAATTTATTTGCACTGGCTCTGCAGTTAAAATGATACATATACCATTTAGGTGAAGTGATTATTGAGGTCTGTGTGGCTTAATTACTTATTGTGGTGTGGTTTTATCTCAGCTGCCCGTCAGAGATGAAGACCTCAGGCAGTTCTCAGCAGTCTGAATGTAACCCTGTGGGGGCTCTGCAGGTGATTCATTCATTTGTCCTTGTTTCATCACAATTTTTCCAGTTTGTGTCACAGTAGTTTTCAGTTACATGCCTTTTAGTTTCTTTTTTATTTTGTGATTCAACATTTGTGCATGTTCTTCTCTGTCAGGAGCTGGTGGTGCAGAAAGGATGGCGTTTACCAGAGTACACGGTCACTCAGGAGTCTGGTCCTGCACATCGAAAAGAGTTCACCATGACCTGCAGAGTCGAGAGATTTGTGGAAATCGGTAAAATGCAGAATGCTCATTCAGTGAAAGTGTGTGTACGTTTGTGTGCATGAGTATTTGTTCTGTCTCATACATGTTAACATCATGAATTTGTCCGTCAGTGATACATTTGCTCATTCTACCCATGAAATGATACTGATAAGAAACAGTTAATTTGGATTGAAAACAATCACACGTCCTGCCTTCTTCACGGGTGTTGAAAAGTTTCTGACCTTTAGTGACTCTTTACACTGAAATAGCAAGAGCATTGATTTCTCTGTGGCACCATTTACTGTATCAGTGATAGACAGTAATATTAATGTCCCATTTAACAAGATATACCAGCTTACTCTGCGAATGATAAAGTCAGACCAGCTGTGGTCATACTTGTTCAACATGACCCACAGTTTCCTGTTCATCTCCAGGAAGTGGAACCTCAAAAAAACTAGCCAAGAGAAACGCAGCAGCTAAGATGTTGTCGCGTATACACGATGTTCCGGTCGACCTGAGGACCAGCAACGAGGCAGACGCGGAAGAAGATACGTTCACTGTGGTGAGAAACAAACATTCTCCCACAATGGGGAAATTTGCAATATTACAGCAGCAAGAGTCAAAAATAGGCATCAGTAGGTAATAATAAGTAACATGCAACACTTAAGTTTAAAGAAATATTCAAAAAATTGAAAAATATGAATTGAATAAAAAGCAAATACCAGAAAAAGAAAAGAAAAAGTATAATATGTCTAATGTGTGAGAATTGGTTTGTCCTATGATGAACTGACGTGTGCTACTATCAATTGCACACACATTTAACTGTGCATAGGCAGTTCATCCTGACTTGACATCTGGAAGCCTCATCCTGCTGCATGTGTTTGAACTGATAAGGAGGCCCATCCTGACTCTGCATTTATTTATGATACAACTTCTCTATAAAAAATGCTATTATTCTTATCTGGTTAGTTTGTTGCAATAAACTCATTCAAACCCACAAGTAGCAGATATTCTATTATCATTACATAGTGGCTAATAATGTCAGTTACATTCGGTTGTTTGTCTTTCCGATATTCACCTGACAGCCCATTACCCCTTTTCGTACTCTTAAGTCTTGCTGGCAGATAATAAAAGTGAATGAACTGCTCTAAATGTCCTCTCTCCTGCACACACAGCACATTGGGAACAGAGTTGAGTCGGGTAAAAGTAAAAGCTTCAGCTGCACATGGGACTCTCTGCGTAACTCTGCTGGAGAGAAGATCCTCCAGCTCCGCAGCCACCCTCTGGGAATGCCCTCCGACTCCAACTTCTGCTCCTTACTGAGTGACCTGTCTGTGGAACAGCGCTTTGACGTCAGTTACTTGGATCTGGGTGAGTTCACTAACTGCAGCATTCAAAGAAATGACAGTTCCATTCACGTCTGTGGAGCACCACAGTTAGACTGCAGTGAAGTTGAGTTAAAGAGGAGTTAGATGTTGAATGGACATAACCGACAATACTCTACAGCTAAACGCATGAAGAAATGCATTTCAGTTCATTTAAATATGAATTGAATCTTCACCTCTGGTTTTTAACACCTGCACAAACTAAGAGTTGCACAGCATCATGGGTACATTGTGGTGGCAGCATTCCACAAATTACATGTAAAAAAACCGTGTGGTTACTTTAACTCACATCAGATATGATGCAGCTGCATCACCTACGTGTCACAGTTTCATGCAGGTGCACAATAATTTAACTAATTCAATTTTTATTTTATTAAAATGTTTGTGCAGGAGAAACCAGCACCCTAATATAAATCTGAAGTAAACACTCTTACACTTTCATATCATTAATCTATTAATCAAAAATAAATGCATTTCATTTATATTCAGTATAAATACGAACTATTTCCTGGTTTTAAATCTATCATTACTTTACATTCCACAGAAACAATAAAAATATTAAAATAACAGATTGATAAGATAATAACAAGTATTTGTAGCTAAATACTATGTGGTATACAAATGTATAATTATCGTTATCATTATAATTATTAACCAGGATATTTATTGCTTATTCATATACTTATATTCTGCTGTTATAGCAGTTTGTATCATATTACTCTTACCCTTACATCTATAATATACTCCTGTACGTATAGTGTCCATTACACTGTACTAATAACACATCTTTGCTGAGAGAAAATACACATTGTTGTCTAAAGAAGCAGGAAGATATCTGTCTCAATGTTTTCCAACATCCTTGTTCTCTCTCGTTTCAGAGGAGCCCAGTCTGAGCGGCTTGTGCCAGTGTCTCGTGGAGCTGTCCACGCAACCAATCACAGTGTGCCACGGCTTCGCCCCGAGCACAGATGCCGCTCGTGCCAACGCAGCCCACAATGCACTGCAGTACCTCAAAATCATGGCTGGAGGGAAGTGATGTCAAGTCACCTTCCTCCTCACAGACTTGAACTCGCAAAACTGCACATTTCCAGGATGAATTTCCACTTTGGACGACGGAGGAAACTTTTGTGATGAGTTCAAAAACCGAGAATTACCTCAGATTTGGAAAAAGTAAACTTTTTCTGTCCCCAAGTTTAAACCCTGGAGCCCGATTTGGCCACTTTGATTTCTAATTGTCGCAAGCGAACATTAAGTTGCCCAAAAATTCACGAACACTCCTCTTCTTGCAAATTATTTTAAAATTCCTTTTCAGTCACTTACATTTTTGCTTGTCTTCCACACAAAGCAGTGTTTCCCTCGAATCTCACTACAAAAAGTCTTTATCTGGAATTTTAAATGGTGCTTTTGCCAAAAAACTGGAGACGAATCCTGGTGCAACAGAAACAGAAATTGGACAATGGAATCGCCGATCTCATGGATGGACTTAATATTTTGACAGCCATGCCACTGAAACATGGAGAAAGAGACTCTGCTGAATAAATATCAGAGGATAATTATTTTAAAGACTGGCCCCTTTACACTTGAGCGTGTTGGATCTTGCAAAATGTTTTTTTTTTTGTCTTTGTTAATTTGATTCCCTGAAACTCAAACAGTTTGTCGCTGTGATGTTCTGAATATTTGGCGTGAAGGATCTGAGTTTGTGACGTACTTCTCCTGTCATTTTTAAATCTCAGTATCCGACACATATTTTGAACTCGTTGGGTTTATTTGAAATTAACCCTCTCTAATTATGTTACACTCAAGTATTTACTGTCGTAGAATTAAGAGGAAGGAGCAGTGAGCTTGAGTGATAACATTTATTATTGATTTCCCACGTGTAGAATTCCTTTGAAGATGTACACCAATGGCTATCAGAGCATTTTAGGAAATCTCTCTGTGATCATGACAACACTACAAAAGAAAACAGTGGGCATAATTTAAAATCTACTTATTGGTTCAGTCACTCACAGATTCGTACATTTTGGAGTAAAACAAGATGACACAAGATGTGATTATGACAAAAATGTCCCAGTTTCTCTATTAACCTGAATTTTTGCATTCAAACCAATTTAAATCAATTTCTGTGTAAATCAAAGAGCTTAAACAACTGTGAGTTGTGTGATAAGGAATTGTTCTCATAATCAATAGAAACCTAACATTGGATTTTTAGAATCGTAGATCAGACAATTATTATTATCTCATTCCAAAGATTTGAATTAACTATTGTTTTTATTCTTTCAAATTCGTACCCGTGATGATTTTTCTCTTTTTTCCGTCAATGTGACTGATTCCTGTGACATTATTTAAAAAGACTGTTGACACCTGCATCTTGGTGTAAACTCTCATTACCACCTTTGTTACTGCAGTAGCTAATCTGTCAATACAATTCCTTGCACTCGGCTGAAATAAGCATTGAAAAGAGTTGAAACAGTTTGCACTAGTTGAAAAGATAATGTCCTTTGCACAGATGCAGGCTGAACATGTTCAAGTGCAGCGTGTTTGATGCAACACTGACCTCATTTTGTCTCAAACAGCAGATCTGCATATTGTTTTTCTGATTACTGAAATAAGTAAAGTTATCTGCTGGTTATGGTGAATTTTATTGTGCTGACATTAAATTTGAGACAGATTTTTTGTCATAGTAAAATTGAAAAGTTAAATTAAATAAATTGTGAGCTCCATGTGAAATTGACTGTTATGGTGTAATATATTCGTCACGCTTTAATAACAGATTGACTTATTACCGCTCAAATATGATGATCCACACAGTCTTTCATCGACTTTATGTTTAGTCATTTACAATAATTGTATTGAGGACGAGCACTGGGAAAAACTTTTGATAAACTTGACTTGATTTCTTCAGTGTAGATCCTCTGAAAGCTCATGAGATGTAAAAAATCCAAATCCTCAGTGCAAATGTGTGAAGATTGAACGATGGAGTTCTGTGTTTTATGTCATCTGGCATGTCGGTCCGATGAGGGACTGACTTCTTCATCTACGTAACCGCTGCTGTCTGACTGCAAGCTGTCGCCCCGGACCACTTCACCTAGACGAGGACACAAACACAGTCAGCTGACACTGCACAGACGAGGCTACGGTCCCACCTGAATGAAGGGAGGGATGTTCAGTATGTTCGCAGTGAGCTGTATATCTCAGTCTGAAACCTTTCATCATAAATTCATGTTCATGCTCAAACACATTTTTCTACATATATCTGTAAAAATTTTAACTCTTCTCCAAAGTGAAATGTTCAAGTTTATTAAGAAGTTTCATGCAGAAATGTGTTGTGCATTTCTACAAACATCCACTTGCTTTGACGAAGTGCTGCACAGTAGCTGTTAAGGCACAAACTGACCACATGTGTTACTTCCCTTCAAAACGCTGTCAGTAATATTATTTTTGCTGCAGTTTGTTCGATGATAAGTCATATTCCTGTAAAACCTGACCACAGCGTACCAAAGCAACATGTAAAAGATGTCCCACACACGAATAAAACATGAATGCACTCTACCTTTGTGCTGCCCTTTAGTGGACAATGGTGAGTTTGTAGTTCTTGTAGTATTTGACTGTCCAACTTCTTCCTCCCCTGCACTGTGCACCTATTGACACAAAGCGTACATTGTATACTGTGTGTCTGATTTGACTATTTAATAGAGAGATAACAATGTGAAGCAAATCTAAATGGAGCTGAACATTCAGATCAGGGGGAAGATCCTTAACATTTTTAAAACACTGGACGTTTTTCAACATTTTCACAGTTTTCCTGAGGAATGAATTACGTGTATTTATCGTGCTTTGCTTGTTTGACAAATTACCAATCACAATCATTCTGAGAACTTAAGAGAAAATAAATGGAATTAATAAAAAATATTGTGGAGCAATAACATGCACTGTGTTGACAGTGTTGGGACAATATGAGGCAACTCATGTGATAATAAAGTTATGACTGAACATGTCAGAATGTCAACACGTACCTCCTCCAGCTCAAACGAGTTAACCTGTTTCACATTGTTGGAGAATATCCTCAGGCTCTGATGTGTCGGGGGGTTCAGGTACTGAGTTTTCCCGTCGTTTAACGACCCCTCACGCGTCTGGACAGGCAAGACATTTGAAGCAGGACAGGAATCTGGTGCGTTCAAGGAGCAGCAGGATGGACCGTCCCCCTCCCAGCCGGTCACAGAGATAGAGTAATGTGTATGGCTGCCGTTAGGGGCCAGGACAGGAAGTGAGCTGGATGCATCCAGCAGTCCGACCCCTGTGTGTGATGAGTCCTCACCAGGATCGGAGGTAGGGGCTTGTTTGTTGGGTTCATGTGCTTTATCAGTGTCTTCTGTCCCAGTGTTCGTTTCCAGACAGTGTGTCTGTTGACAGCAGAAAGGTGCCTGGTGTACGCTCTCGGCTATCTGCGGGCAGATTAGATCATTTGTAACCATGGAAACTGTCTTTATCTCGTCAGTCTTTGTGTCACTTTGAGTAAAATGTGAGTCCTGCCCTGCCTGAGGTGAAAGACACTGATGATCTGTTTCTACCTCAGTTTCTAGAGATGTTTTTCTGTCATCGTCTGCTGGTTGGACGATGTTTTCATCAGCTTCAGTATTATCTGTTTGTTTACTGCTGTGCATCTCCTTACGATGGATTTTATTTCTAAGAATGTCTGTGTCAATTTTTCCGTTGCTACAGGATCCATCATCATCTGTGACGAGCCCAACATCCACAGCTGAACTACTCCTGTTGTGTTCCTCCATATCCAGTTTCTTGGGCACCCCCACCTTGGTGTTCACCAGGACCATATCCACAACATCAGGGAGGCTGGACCTTTTCCTGGGTGACGGCTGCGGTGAGGTGGAGTCTGAGCCTCGGGGGGAGCCCGTGTAGAGGCACATCTTGGAGACGGTGTCCTTCAGCCTCTCCACCGGAGAGCGCGGCTCACTGCGAATGCTGCTCCTGAAGCGGTCGAGCTTCTCCATAGGAGACGAGAGGCTTAACTCTGGCGGGACCAGTTTCTGGAGAGGGGTTCGGGACACGTGGGAGTAGAGGGAGTAGAAAGCGTTGGCCATCGCTGTGAGCGCTTGGACTTGTCTGAAACGACCTGGGGAAAGAATATAATACAGATATCATCTGGTATATCCCAGAATTATGTCACCTGATCACACATACCATATCACATCATACAGGTCACAAAGATGACCTATGGCAGAGTGATTCAATAAATCCACAGTCTTACTAGCTAGAGAGAGGCCGGGGTCCTCCTCTCGTATCCGCCGCAGCTGCGAGTCCAGGAAGAGGCGGAAGCTGATGCCCTGAGCTTGAGAGGGGAAGGTGAAGAAACGAGGAGGGATGCGCACCGGGGCCTGTGGCTCATCGTTGCCAAAACCCAACTCATACAATGTCTCCTCTGCATCTTCCGAACACATATTCAGGACCTCGGATACACTAATGTGTGTACGAGAGAAAGGGGGAGGGAATGTTGTGTTCAAGCATGTAGAGCATTAATAAAAAAAAGCCGCAAAGTGCCTTACATAACCAGAATGGCCCCCGGATATTGAATCTCACACACTCATAGATACCAGTTCCCTAAATGTCCCTGATTCTATTCTTTAAGATCAATTTATTTATTCCCTGGGAAACGGTGAAAATGCAAAAACAAAACACAATATATTGCAATGTTAAAGAAAGTGAAAAGATATTCCTGGATTTGCCCCAAACTTTAATGAGTTCTTCCCTGACTCATACCACATCATTCCACCAAGAAATCTTGCTTTAAAAATGGGAATAGATCCATCCTAATATTCAGGTAAAAGCCAAAAATGTTAAAGAGGAAAAGTGATTTGGAAAGTTGCGACTGGTCGCGCAGGTGGTTCAGCAGCCTGGTTATCAGCCTGCTGACCTGCAGAATAAAGAGGCCTTTGAAAGTGTTGCAGTCTCACCTTGATGTCGTTTTGCACGTGTAGGAGGAGGAGGGACAGCTGGAGGCCATGCTCTGCCCCAAGGGAAATGACGGCAGCAGTAATCCAGGTTTGCTGTTGGCAAGAAATGTGAAAAGTTACATCACATATATGATCTTCAAATTTCACTAATTATAATGCAAAATGTGTAGCTATGGAAGATACAAGGCCTCACTGTAGTTTTTAATTCATCTCCAAAGTGAAAATAGAAAAAGAAAAAAAGCCTGTGAAAACATGTTGATAGCTGTGCAGCTGAATGATCTTGGTCACAGACCTGCTGGTGAGTCTGCCTCCTCGTTGTTTCGGGGTAGGGTGCTGTGCTGGACTTCTCGTTCAGAGTCGGAAAAGGAACAACGTTAACAACAGTTCATTTCACACTAGCATTAACTGTCAAATGAGCGTTATGTCCTTCACACTTTTGAATCACTTCAGTAGAAACAGCCTCAGTGAGCAGGGGTGTAACAAACTAAAAACATCTGTGAGGGGACTTGTTTCAAGATCTGACTGAAGCACTAGAAACATCAACACTTCATTAATCCTCTGAATGAACTGTGTTCTCGTGCAGAAAATAAGACACAAGGTTCAAAAATACAGAGTGGCATCTGCCAATATATTGATCAAAGTAACATGGACTATTGTTAACTTATATTCACTAATTCAGTAACATTACAGATGCTACTCACCCAGCTTCACATGGAATTTCTCCACCGTTTAACACTGAGGCTGAAACCAAGAGTAAAGGAGGACTATGTTGATATGCATCTGTGTGAACGGTTAATTTACAAACCCCTCAAATATGTGCCTGACTGTGATGGGTGGGTTAATGTGGTGAAATGTACATTTAAATAGACTTAACTAAAGATATCTTTAAGTTAAATGTGCAGTGAAATTAAAATAAAGCTTTTTACACTTCTATACCAAATATTTTATTTTAATGTTAAGAAAAAAATGTAATAACAGAGTGGTTCCCTGATGTGGCTTTAAGTGTGTAGCAACATGTTATATTAAAAAGCAGAAATCTTAGTAAGATGAACTTTTGAGGCATTTATCTCCTCCTCTCCCTCTGGGAGGTACAGTAACGCTGTGCACCTGACGATCCATTAGATAGAACAGCTGATATGTGTCTTTGTCTACGTCAGCTATTACAAACTCAGCAAACAAAAGCAGAGAATAAAAACCATTCATGACACTCCCCTCATTTTCCTCTATGAACATTTCCTGCTTTGATAGTGTGCGTGAGTGTGTGCACTTACCGTCAGCACCAAGACTCAGGTCATCATCAAAGTTGTTGGCTTTGACCATAGACTCTACAGAGAGGAAATAAAAGCCATTGATTTCTAATAACTGTTATTGCATTAGTAGACTTTTGTAGTTTAAACCACTCAACTGAATATAAATTCATGATTAAATTAACTTATTTTATACTTTTAACTACAACACAAATCCGAAAAATGTATGTGTAAATTACTTATTTCGGGTCATACTAACCAAAACTCAGCTGGCAGGTTTTCTCTGACCTGTAACACACACACATGCACATATATTAGTGATGCCATCTACAGTTCATGCTTAAGAGAACTCTATTTTCTCCAGGCTGTCTGTCAACTTCCTCTTGAAGTACTGTTCACAAAGCAGAGCTATGGTCAACACCTTCAAACAATCTGCTGCGTTCATGCTGTTATCAGATGCAACCATCACACAGCAAGTTAGTTGCTGACACTGCAAATGGTTTATCTCACTGACTATAGCTTCCTTTACAATGATAAAGATGAGACATCCCATAAATTACTGACCTACTTTCTTCGGTCAATTTCATAATATGAAAAAAGAAGCATAATGTCCTCTTGTTATATGATTCTTATAACAACCACTAGAATCGTTTGAAAAGGTCAAAGAGCGCAGGCTGGGTACTTTCTATGGTGAACCCCCGCAGACCTGAAAGACTGAAGTGGTTGAGATGTTTGCATCTGTATCCTGAGAGAAATGTCAGCAGCAGTTTAACAACCTGCCTGTGTGCCAGCCTTGCTAGTTCAGGTAAATCAGCTCGATCATAAGTTTTTCTGAGAAATAAAAGAAGTTTATTTTTCCAGTGGAATCGTTAAAACCAGTCTTCTGAGGCCATTGGGGCGAAAACAAGTAGTGTGGCTACAGAACTGCACAACATGTGACCTCAGAGAGTTTCCAATCTCCGTTTGCTGTTGTTTGTTACAGCAGTTTCCAGCAACTTGCACTTTGTCCTTCAGAGGCTGCGAGAGACTGAGATGAAAACATATTTCATATATATATAAACGTTCACTTTACACAAAAAGAAAAAAACAACCCAGCAGAGCGAAGTGACTCACCCACAACCCAGCAGCCAGTCCTCGATCTTTCCTGTGAAGCATCCTGTGGAAATCAGACACGTATACGATTCTTAGCTTCATGACTAATCCTCATTAACTGCAGGTTCTTTTTGTCTCTTTATTACTAATTATTCTAATTACTTTGGACATATTATCTTGAATTAAAAATGGGGACATCTGAATGTTTTAGCTAAACCTGTAAATGATGCTATCGTATGATTCTTCATTGCTGCAATTTCTTTTATTACATCCGTAATAGGAGAAATTAGATTGTTGATAGACTGGTGACAAATTAGCCCAATGAATCATTTGAAATCTAAACTGTAAGATTTGTACTTGCCATCAGAGAACACGTCGTCGTCTGTTATGGAGGCCGATGGGAGGCTGCACAGCGGCCTCTCGGGGTCCGGTTCCTCCAGAGTGGACCACCGTCGGCTGCTGTTGATCCAGGCTCGCCGCCTCACTGTGGAGGACGGGCTGTCCATCGCCTCAGTCTACAGACAGCAGGGGAACATGGGGGGGACTGAAGCTGCTGGGACACAAGGGCCGAGCCTGAGATAGAACACACACAATATATTCATCGATGATGCTTGGTTAGAAAAGACAATCGAATTGTTACGCTGACATCCATTCTAGTATTTTGTGTTTTGTTTATTCTGACGTTGAAGTTGGATTATTAATAGTTAACTTTTATTTGACAAGCTGGATGAACAGCTTTCTCTCCATTGCCAGATTAATGTCATTGCATGGACCAGCAGTTTCAAAACATCACTAAACAACTAATAAAACACAATAAAACTAATTATACAGACATGTTACAATGGATGCCCTTCACCAACAGAGTTAAATTGATTTACCAGATGCC